TCGGGGGAATTCTCTAGCTTTAAAGAGATCAGGAATACCCTTCGAGTTTATAATTATATATCGCATATTAAAGGACGTGGCTGGGTGACCTATATGGATTCTGCACAGGTCTCCCGAGGCTGTCAATTATGTTACTACAGGACTGTAAACCTAAACCCTAAAAACCCTAAACCCTGCTACACAATAAATTTATTTTCGAGAACAGCTATCCAAAACTGGCCCGATATTAACGAGTCGAGGCTCCAATCCAAACATCAGTCAAAACTTAAAACACAAAATCTCAACCACAGGCCGTAACCCCATTTGCAGGATCTCTTTACAAATAGCTATATAGGCATTGAAGAAACCCTTACTAGCGAATTTATCATGAGAGACAGGATCTGTGCGATTCATTTAATTGTGTTTACAATATTGGATTTAGGATGTGGTCGGGTGTGGGGTTTAGGGCTTGATGCCTTTATGTTTAGCGTGTTAAAATGATGTACACCCAGCAGCTAGCTGCCAGCACCCGACTCGTCGACATCGATCTCTTGCCATCCGGCCAGAAACTTGGCGAGATCCCACCTGGATTGCTTTGGGCTACTATAACGGCAGTCTAGAGCATTGCCTTTCGTGGAGGGGAAGCTGGCATTACTGTACACAGTATACTATAGCATTACTTAGCCAGGCCCTTGCAGCCTTGCAGCCCAACAACAAATTATCAACAAAAGCATCAAGCAATAAACCCCGAAACCCACGTCACTCTAAGCCCGGCCTGATAGTATAATAAGCCTATATCGGACATCTAGATCCCTTATAATAATTATAAACCAAAGATCAGGAATTATAATAATCTAGATCTAGAATTCGGCTCGGGCACGCCCGCTCCAGTCCTCCGTGTCTGGACCAGTTCAAGGTGGACCCTCCTTTTTTGTCAACATTCACCTGCAGCAGATCATATGATGACGGCCACTCGACTCGAGAATAACTGAGCGATCATTTCGATAACACTCTTGTTGCAGCCAATGGCGCAGCATATGCTCGCGCATCGTCCGCCCTCTTGCATCTCTGCACATAGAAAGCATTCACATACAAGCATACCGTGATTGGACACACATCGGATCCCAAAGTAGCTGGCGGACAAACAGTGTAGCTCCTTAGTTTCATGCCTATGGCACGGTACATTCATGATCATGCATCCATCATCGAATCATGAGCTCATTTATAATGCAGCTATGGCACTTCGCAGTGAAGCCTAGGGGCGGTTGCAGGTCCACTAAGGTAGGGAAGGTACGAACCATGGCAGCGTTGGCATCTGCAATCTGTTGCCGGCGCTCTGCTGCTCTCCGCAAACTTGCTGCCTTGCTGTTGTCTCCTGGGCCTGCACGCTCTGGTGCCTCACCTGCCTCACCTGCTGGCTCCGGCACACCTGCTGGCTCCGATACACTGCTGGGCTCCGACACACCTGCTGGCTCCGGTACACCTGCTGGCTCCGGCACACTGCTGGGCTCCGGTACACCTGCTGGCTCCGGCACACTGCTGGGCTCCGGCTCACCTGTTGGCTCCGGCACACTGCTGCGCTCCGGCACACCTGTTGGCTCCGGCACACTGCTGCGCTCCGGCACACTGCTGGGCTCCGGCACACTGGGCTTCGAGCTCAAACCGGCGGCATTTGGCCCCCTGTTGCGTGGGCCCCGAGGCTTCTTTCGCACGTCACTCTGAGCTGCATCCAAAGGCCTGGCTCTTCGACCCTCCGGCGTGACTCTTGTATCTGCTGCAGGCTCTGCTTCATCTAGATTTGTTGCTTTCCGCTTCTTGCCTGCGGCCTTGGCCTTTGCTGCTGCTTTGACCTCGTGCTGCTTCTGCTGGTGACTGGCTTTCACATACTTTTGCTTCTCCCGCACATCGTTGCCCTCCACGTCCTGCTGCGCATCCTCTAGATCTAGTAGCTCCTGAAGCTCATCCGGCAGAGCAAGCCTCTCGCTCAACAGGGGCGCACGGTCCTGCCACCATGCACATGCACGATCATTGTTGCGATCATATGCGATCATCAGATGTATGGTATACGTATATACATACACATCGCATCGGTCGTCCTTGAAGCCCGGCTTGGAACCCGAGCTAGATGACGCCGCAGAGGTCGTTGCAGACAAGCTGGCAGAGCTCGCCGAAGAGGCCAGCAGTGTAGCACTGGACGCACCCCTTCTGATAGCATGCGTTGGGGTTCTCGTGGATTGCTGGCTTGCAAGCTCGAGTTCCCTCTCCTTCGCCTTGTGCTCATCACGTTCGCACTCATCAGCCTCTAGCTCTGCCAGCGCTTCTGGCCCCAAGTAGGTGTTTGGGTCGGGTACCGCTTCTGGCCCCAAGTAGGTGTCTGGGTCGGGTACCTTACATGTAGCTAGTGCAATCGTGTGGACATGGGACCATCGTGTCGACAACATGCACGTAGGCATATGAGCATCTGCAGAGGAGACACAGGAGGCTGCGATTCAGAGTCGGATGGCGCAAGCATCGCTTCCATTTCATGATCATCTAGATCTTTCGAGTCATTCTTCTTCTCACAGAGAATCTGATGCACCAGCCCGTCCAGTTCCTTATATGCACGCGAAGATTATATTGTAATGATCGATCATGATCGACTGCACTCGAATTTTCGGCGTACTGTTTAAAACCAAGATTCCGCATCCAAGTTTCGGGGCCTTAGATCGTCGTCCTCATCGATAGCATCATGAGCAACGTCTGCGCCTGCAGGCGGTTCCCCATCCTCCAGCGGAGCTGGGCTGAGACCCAGCAAGATGCTGTCCTGAGACGATCGTAAGTGGTCGGGATATTTAGAGCTTACCATGCACATATGTATTTATTGGGGTTTCAGCTTTTCGGTATCGTAGCTTTAAGATCGAGTTTCGGGTCAAGGGTTTTTAGCTTTTGGGGCGGCGGCTTAAGGCACATATTCAAATCTCCGGATCCTCTAAAAAAAAAAAAAATATATATATATATATATATTATAATAGCTCTGTAGTGCAATGCTTGGGGCAGCTAGCATCGAAGTTTCACCCCAAACAACGGATAGCAGATCGAAGGATCCTAGCTGGAAAAGGACGTCGTCTACTGCTAGCGCTGGTGCTACACAGCAGGCTAATACATTATTAATTATATATGGGCACGGAAACTGTATTTGTTGAAGACTCGGCATCCGAAGCATCACCATCGGCTTCAACCATTGCCTCATCATGGGGCTCGGGCTCATCCGGCAGCCAGGCCATGCCTTTGGCGAACAATCTCTTCAGGATTTTCATCTTCGTACTCCTGAGATATATGCATCAAGCTGCGAGCTGAAAATACTGATGAGACCATGATGCATGCACGACCCCTCACCCCTTCGATCAAACAAGACTCTTCGCATCAACAGTGCGGCGAGTGAGCCGCTGCAAAGCAGACAGAATCGATTTGAGCTTCAGCGCCTCTGCATGGGCCCAGTCCTAAGATGAAAGCGTCGAATTCTAAAAACACGACGAGATCGGAGAATGAATTTAAGTTATATCTTAGAATTACTATATCGATGATTGAAAGCAGGGCTCCTTCACCTCAGCTTTTCCACCCCGCTTGGTGCGGACCTCGGGGTGCAAGTTGTAAGTCGCGGAGAGGTGCTGGAAGGCGACCTGCAATACTAAATATAAACCGCGATATATATATATATATATGATCATCTATCGATTCGAATCTGCACGATCGCATGCCAGCACGCGAGGCCTTGTGGTCAGTAAGACATGGCACTCCCTGCTCCGCAGTTACGACCTGGGCAATGTACTCCTTGAGCAAGTCGAAGTTCAGCACTATCGCTGCCTCGCCGACCTGCAAAGCACGATACGTATTGAGCCTGCTTGCATGCGTGCACACCTGCGTTGAGCTTTTATGCGATCTGCCTTGCTCGAAGGTGTTTCCCCTTCCACTGGCTCTGGCATCTTCGAAATTTGCTTGCCCTGATCGAACATGAGTACATGTAATCATCGATTCGACTGAACTCATGAAGTGGGAATTGCATGGTATTTTGTTGCAGCCACGGCTCATCGTTGCCACGGAGGCTTTCGAGCTTGCTTTCGCAATGCTTCCGAAGACCGTTGACAACCTTCTCGGCACCTTCCTTTACAAATGATCAATATATGGAATGTGGATGCTGCGTGCACACCCACCGGTGGCAACTTAACTTATACATCGATTGCAGATGAGACTCGGTTAGGAAGTATTTCATCGGCTGAGTAAACCGACGATCTTCCAAAGCTCTGGCCATGCTAGGTAGCGCTAGACTCGGGCACACTTCAGCTGCACTTTCTGTGCAGCACGGCAAAAAGGCTTGCAGTGGTAAAAACACAGCACATGCACACGAGTCCACCACAAAAAGGCTTGCAATGCAAAAGCAGCACATGCACACCAGAAGCAATGCAGAGCACATATCTTGCATGCAGCGGGTGGGGGGTGGGGGTGCACCTGGAATCTTGGAATTGTGCCGCTTTCGCACAAGCAGCGATGTGCGGATCATGGCTTGCAAGAATCTTGCAACTAATTATCCTGATCGAGGTTTCGAGAACGAGTCACGAAATCGACTATCTTGACTGAATCATCTGATATGCACTCCAAGGGCCTCTTGCCCATTGTGCAACTTTAGAACTTCGGTGCAGGACCTTGCATTATTGCACTCCAAAGGCCTCCCCCTATCTAATAATTATTTGAAGTTCAGGGCTCAAGGCTTGCAAATTTGTCTCGGATTCGGGGATCTGAATGTCGACCACTGAAACGTGTACCATGAGCCTCTGCAGCAACCGAGGTGCAAGCTGGAATCCCTGGGCATGGGTATGTACATATGCATATTTTGTAAGCAAATATATATCATATAAGACGGCATATGCCCACATCGAGCACTTATAAGAAAAAGGCCGCTCTCCGGATCAATACCACTCTCAGCATGTTTCCCACTGATACTATCCTCCTTACACACTCGGACCCTCAGGGTTAGAGACCGCTGCCTTCACATGATCACGTAGCTCTCTGGGCCACTCCTGGCAGAGAGGGTGTAGGGTTTAGGGTTTAGGGTTCCCTAAACTGTAAACCCTAAACCGTATGTGAGCCGAGACATCTCAACTTCGAGCCTCAGCCAGGGGCGGTTTGGATTGAGAGCCATTATAGGGTTATGAAGGGGTACTGAAAGGATCATGGGACTTAGTAAGTAGGGTTATAACTAAGGTAACTATACTTATAACCCCAATTAAAGGACTTATAACCTTGCTTACTAGGTCCCATGATCCTTTAAGTAGTGTAGGATTGTCACACCTACAGGGCTGCTGCAGGGCTTAGGGTTGTTTAGGGCTCAGGGTGTAGGGATTAGCAAGCGACTTTGGACGAAGGACCTTGCAAGTTGCGGGTGGGTAGTTCGGGTCCTACTGTTGATGATATAAATCCTGCATTACCTGAAGGACCCTAAACTATGGAAATTATGGCATATTCCTTGTTATGGGTCATGCAGGATGTATATCATCAGAAGTATGTTTGCGCACGCACTCGATCCGTGACAGCGACAATTCGGTGAGAAACCGAAGTTCGACTCGGAGCCAAGCCAAGACGAGACTCCCAGATCTGGCCTTGAGGGTTTAGGCTTTTTTTGGGTTTAGGGCTTCTAGTAGAAGCCATAAAGTTGGAACATTATAGACCTCATGCCTTTAAAAGGTAAAGTATAAGGGATCCTAGCACAAATCATCCTAAACCCATGTTCCAACTTTCTGTGGTTTAGGGTATAGGGTTTAGGGTTTAGGTTGCAGAGGATCGATTCTAGATTCTACATGTAGACTTCTAGAACGGTTTCCTAGAACTCCTCACGATGCCGAATCTCTCTCCCCCACAGGCGAAGGCATAAGCATGAGTGCCCTCTTCCACACCCTCATCTTCAAACCCCCCAAAACCCCTCAACCCTAAACCCCTAAACCCCCCAACACCCCCAAAAGCAGCTCCGTCGCCGAAGACCCAGCGCCGTAAACCCCCTAAAACTCTACAGCCAAAGATCCGTAAACCCCTAAAGGCTCTCCCGCAAACCTAAGACCCTTCACCCTAAACCCTAACCCCAAACCCTATACCCTAAACCCTAAGACCCTAAACACTAAACCTTAAACCCCAAACCCTATACCCTAAACCCTAAAACCCCTAAACCCTAAGACCCTACACACTAATCACCCTAAACCCTAAACCCTAAACCCTAAACCCCAGAAGGCCTAGAGCCTCAAAACCTTTAACCCCACGGTCGCCTCGTCGTTCAGCCAAAGTATGCTTGGAGAGGTAGCTGCGTGGAACCTCTGGTTTAGGGTTTAGGGTTTAGGGTTGTGGAAGTCATGGGCTCAGAGAGGTCAAGGAAGTACTAATACCTACTTACTAATGTTTTTCTTGTTGGGACGATCTACATTCTTGCCAAGAATTACTTTTCGCAGTATTGCTGGTACTGTGACAGTTTTCGATATATATATATATATATATATATATATATGCACATATATATATATATATTTATTTATTTATTTATTTATAGATATGTATGTATATATATATATATATCAACGTTTGCTGCTTGTTTTATGAATACATATGCTACTACTATTGAATGTTCAAGCTGGGATATGAACATCAGAAAGTGTCTCAAACGGAACGATAGGACAACTAGCAACGGAAACATAAACTTGGATGGAGATTCAACATCTTTTAGGATTGGAGTGTAATTAAAACCCTAAACCCTAAACCCATTACGTCGGTTCTAAGTGCTTCCTCTGTCGAGATTCGGATGGACCCCAGGCCAAAAAGCCCGAACCCTAAAACCTGAACTGACCTAAACCCCAGAAATCCAAACCTTATGGGGGCTGGGGTGCTGGACACGAGAGTTTGGGACCTTGCGAATTCGAGCTTGAGCACGGAAAAAATAAGACGGGCTCCTTTTCACCGAAAGCTGGCTCTGCATTCGCAACCCTAAACCCTAAACCCCTAAACCCTAAACCCTAAACATCTAAACCCTAAACACCTAAACCCTAAACACCTAAACCCTAAACACCTAAACCCTAAACCCTAAACCCTAAACCCCAAAAAGACGCCCGGCTGCGCAGTGCGGAAGCTCCAAAATCTCGGAAGCCAGGCGTCCCAAACTCGCCACAAATCCCGGCAGGAGCTCTCAGCCCCCAAATAAACCTCCCAGACGGTTTAGGGTTTAGGGTAGTTTAAAGATCTATAAACCCTAAACCCTAACAGAAAGGACTGTTGCGTGTCTCAACCCTAAACCCAAGCCCTCAGCCTTATAAACCCTGAACCCCGCGCATTTCCGAGCCTCGAGACTAGCGGGCAGTTTGCGGCATCACCAACCTGCCCAGGTCGAGAAAAAGATGCTTTAGGGTTTAGGATTTAAAATTAGGGTTTTGGGGTTTAGGGTTTTGTGTTTGGGGTTTAGGATTTAGGGCTCAGGGTTTAAATGTAGGGTTCAGGGGTTCAGGGTTTTGTGGGGTAGGGTGTAGGATTTGGGGTTTAGGGTTTAAGGGATAGGGTCGAGGGATGCCTAGGGTGGGGGCCTTAGTAATTAGATTAGGGTTTTGGAGAATCTTATACTATAGGTATCTTAGCAAGGAACCCCCCAAAAAATAGCTTTGGTAATTAATTTTTCAGGCCCCTATTTTATCTTCATTCTTGGCTCCCGGAAAGGGGGGCGTGCTGAATAACAGGTGCCTTCATAACTACTCTACTACGAACGAATGCTGCCACTTTGTTGATGTGGGCTTTCCCCTCGCTAGGAGTTACGATTAGGGGGACCCTTGGGGATATAGACCCTCTCAAGAAGGTCCCTGTTAAGAGAGCCAAAAGTGGGGTTAAGAAGGGTCCCCTTTAAGGGGTCTCCCCCAAAAAAAACCCCAAAACCCTAAACCCTAAACCTAAGACTCGCTGACTTTGACATTACAAGGCTTCCGCATGGCCACCTGGGATTGAGTCTCAGCCACACAATCCGACTCCGGACCCTGAGAAGCTCAAGTTGTCATGATTAGGTTCATGATTATCAACCTTCTTCTTATTGTCATTATTATTCTTATTCTTTTTCTTATTATAATTCTAACTCTTCTTTTTCTTTCAATTTGTTAGTATTCGTAATGTTTTTTCATATATGTGTTCTTCTTATTGTTATTTGTGGGGATCCTTTCCACCTGCACTCAGGTTTACTTAAGGTTGAGGGCTCTACTCAACTCAAAGGCCAGAACTCGAAAAGTGCTTCTACGAATGCCCACGGTTTAGGGTTTAGGGTTTACACCCCCAGAAGCCTAAATGGGAGTTAGGGTTTAGGGTTTGCAGTTTAGGGTTCGGGGTCCTCATATCAAGGATCCTACCAATTCGGGTCCACTATTTTCAGAAACCCCCAAATCTTTAAGCCATGAGCCCCAGCTCATGAACCCCTCACCGAACGCTGCAGGTTCGAACCCTATAAACCCTTGAAGCGTCTAACCTCAACATCCGAAATCCTGTAAAACCTGTAGTACCCATTAAAGATAACGCTTACTACACCGATTGAAACCTCATGACAAATCCTCGAAAAGCTCATCACCCCAGATTCAAAAACAACGTAGTAACCCCCCTAAACCCTAAACCCTAAACCCTAAACCCTTAACCGTAACCCTTCCAGAGCCCCCATCAAAACTCAAACGTTCCGAGATGTCTGACGCTTCCGCCCGTGCGCCTGAAAGTCCACGGGGGCCTCTGCAAGGCCGTGCTGTGAAAGAACCTGCGGGGGTGAAAGTGCTTCGGAGATTCCGGGTGTCTAGGATTTCAAGCCGTTAGTGCTTGGGGGTTTCGGGGTTTAGGGGTGTAGGGTGTGCGATAAGGTGTCCACTTCCGGGGTCTATAAGGGTTGCCACAAAGGCTTCGTTTTCGCAAAATTTCATGTCAAGCTTTTCACTTTGGGTTTTCGCTTTTTGTTGGCATCCTTATTCTTACTTCCCCAATATGCCAAGGAAACAAAAGCTTAAACTTTCACACCTGGTTGAAAAAGCAGTTGGGCGGCTGTCAAGCGCTGCATGGGTGGTTGTCAACATTAGGGTCCCTTTTTGGGTCCTTATTATAATACGGCACCTATTATTTAGGGTACCCCAAAAGGGACCATAATTTTGACAACTACCCGCATAGAAGGCTGCCGTTGCTCTTGGCTTTACTCCGCCAGGGCTGGCGGAGATCCCTGTCTGGGATTTTGACCTCAATCCATGTCACCGACTGACCTCACCAGCCGAAATGGTTCGAGAGATCGTTTTTTTCTTGCAAACGAAACACACCAGCATCATGGCAACTTGATTGAAGACAGTCTTTGGAGCTGCTGTACATTGGCGATCAAAGCTTCTGTCTTGCTCTCAGAAGGCGGGATCAGGAAGAGGATCGAAGCTGGACGAGTCCACCAAACAGGGTCGATTTAGGTGGACTCCAGTCCGCTAATCTTCGAAAAGAGGGAGCTGGACTGAGATCGCCAGCTTGAGAGTGACTGAAGATTGCTACTAAAAAAATAAAAACCCAACAAGTTTAAAGGTTGGGTATAGAGGAACTAAGTATTCGTCCAGCTGAGTACTGTCACAGATCCCCTTTGCTCGAGGGCTTTGGGGTTTGTAGAGCTTAGTGGCTTCATGTTTAGGGCTGCTTTTTGGGTCTAGGGTTTAGGGTTTAGGGTTTAGGGCTTAGGGTTTAGGGTTTAGGGTTTAGGGTTTAGGGTTTAGGGTTTAGGGTTTAGGCTTTAGGGCTTTAGCTGTAACCGAAAAGACCGACCTTTTTCAGGAACTATATTATAGACACCACAAGAAGGAGCCCTCGGAAGGGAGGTCTTTCCGGCTACCAGGTAAGGTCTATAGCCTAAACCCTAAACCCTAAACCCTAAACCCTAAACCCTAAACCGCTATAGGGTTTTTTTGGCAAGAGGTGATTTTGGGATTTAGGGCTTCGGGCCTCAAGTCGTTAATGTAGAGTTTTTTCATTACCTATACTATTCTGGGGGGGTTCCTTAAAGGAAAATGTAGGGGCTGAAATAATTACCTGTACTATTTTTTTTGTTTGAGGGGGGGGGTCCTTACTATAATTATAGTATAATATACCCCCAAAACCTTATTCGAAATATGAAGGCCCCCATCTTATAGAACCGTTATGGTCGCCCTTATAGTATCCCTGTTTAAGGAGCCCTGGAAAGGAACCCTCTTCTAATTATTAAGGTACCCATATTCGTGCCTTAAGATCCTGTCGGTTTCGAGGTTTTTAGGGCTTAGCCTATGCAAGCTGGCTGTCCGCCCGACCCGGCCGGAAGAAGCCTCCAAGAAGTTGTGGGATTGTCTGTTTTTGGGGTGTGTAGGATTCAAAGGTTTTAGGATTTAGGATCTTTTTAAGGCTTAGGTTTGTTCTTTAGGGTTTAGGGTTTAGGGTTTATGGTTTTAGGGCTTGGGCTTAGCTATAGTTGTGCTTCTTGTTAATGTCGACTGCCTATAACTCGATGCGGCAAATCGGGCAAACCTGCTACAGCCCAAACCTTAGTTAAACCCGAAACACCTAAACTCGAGACCATAAGCCCTAAGTAAACCCTAAACCCTCAACTCTGATGAAACCCCAAACCCTGAACCTTAACCAAAGCCTGAAGCCCCTAAACCATGAACCCCAATTAAACCCTAAACCTGAATCGGGAATGCAAGGACGTCGAACCAGGCTACAATATTGCGGGTTGAGAGGGTTTAGGGAATTTAGGGTCCAGAGTTTAGGGTTTAGTGTTTAGGGCTCTAGCGTTCTTGAATTCGCGAGTCATGTGGGCCTGGCTTTGGCAACGACACACGCCTGCACCTTGCCCCGCGATGGTCCGAAATTACCAAAACCCTAAACCTGAGCCCTAAACCCAAGCAGTACTCCTCAACATTCTGGGCCAGGGAAACAAGTAGCGTTTAGGGTTTAGGGTTTAGGGGCCCTGAGCCCCTAAACCTTAGGTAAGCCACCGCACGGCCCGTCTGCACCATGCTTTCCTTCCAGAGGCGTGCAGACAGGGAGAGAGAGAGAGACAGCGATCTGTAGGGGGTAGGAGCCTGCAAAACCGAGCAGTATTCATTTCGCGTAAATTTTTTTTAACAGAAGGAGAGAGAAAGGACTAGTCACCAGTCGCCGGCTATGGTTCTGCAAGCCGTTTCAACAGCATACAACTACTTTTCCCGAGATTGACGTATCACGTTGTGCCGTTGTACGGTTTCGGCTGCAGGAGAAAACACCACAACGTGAAACCTTCGCATCTGCGACAGGAAGACATCCTCACTCACCGAAATAACCACGACTGGGGAAGTAACTGTGATCATGAGCCCTAGACGCCACCCTAAACCCTAAACCCTAAACCCTACAACCCTAAAGCCTAAACCCTAAAACCCTAAACCCTAAAGCCTAATTCCTAAACCCTAATTCCTAAACCCTAAACCCTAATTCCTAAACCCTACAACCCTAAACCCTAAACCCTAAACCCTAAACCCTAACC